TAAACCTAAGAGTTTGAGGTTGCTGTGAGCTATGATGCCACAGCACTCTACCGAAGGCAACATACTGAGACTCTGTCTCAAAAATTAAAAAAAAAGTATCTCTTTAATATGCCTAGCAAGAGCAATTTAAAGTATGAGGAGAAGCTTCTGGAAGTGCTGGTTGCCTCCTCCACTCTTCAGCCTGCTAACCCAGACCTCACTAGTCCCTGTGCATTCCCTACCTGCTGACTGCTCTGTGTGATACCCTGACAATAACGCGTCTGCCTCCTCAGACACAGTCATCTGACCTTTCCCACTCCTCCTCCACTGGGCTGGCCTACCTGATGATAAGAATAACTAAACCAACTCCCCTGCGATAATGGTACTGCTGGTGTACTCCGAGCACACTGTTTTAATTAAAACAAAGGCACCCATGCAGGATGTAAGAGTCTCCTGGTTTTGTGTCTAAAGCCTTTGGCAGCACAGATGCTCCATGCCTACAGTGTGTAGATCACAACTGTGGAAATCTCAAAGGGTTCTATAATCTTTCATTTTTAAAATTTATTTCCTTTTTTCCTTTTTTGGCCATGCACAGTAGCTCATGCCTGTAATCCTAGCACTCTGGGAGGCCAAGGTGGGTGGATTGCCTGAGCTCACAGGTTTGAGACCAGCCCAAACAAGAATGAGACCCCAGCTCAAAAATAGCTGGGACTTGTGGCAGCACCTGTAGTCCCAGCTACTCGGGAGGCCCAAGAGTCTGAGGTTGCTGTGAGTTGGGATGCTACAGCACTCTACTGAGGGCAACAAAGTGAGACTGTCTCAAAAAAAATAATTTACTTTTTTTTAAGGGGGAGGAGTCTAGCTATGTGTGTTGGTCTGGCTGGCCTTGAACTCCTGGGCTCAGGTGACCCTCTGGCCTTGTCCTGAGTAGCTGGGATGCAGACTTGCCCTGTTGTGCCATTAATTTTTTTTTTGTTTTTCTTTTTTGCAGTTTTTGGCTGGGGCCGGGTTTGAACCCGCCACCTCCAGTACATGGGTCTGGCGCACTACTCCTTGAGCCACAGGCGCCACCCCAAGTGCCCATTAATTTTTTAACAGCATATATTAGAAAATAAAAACATCAACTAACATAATTTATGCAAGAGAACTTTTCTTTCTTTCTTTCTTTTTTTTTTTTT